GGGGAGGGGTCCCGACTCCCACGACTAAATCCCCCGGCCTCTGCTGGGGTTCCTTGCATAGCCATGCCCCCGAGCGGTCCCTCCCCCGGGGGTCCCGGGGCCAGCGCTGCCGCCGCCTCTGCTCCCGGCCCTTCTCCGCGGCGCTTCGCTCGGAACTGGTGCTTCCTCCCAGGAGAAAAACCAAACAAAACGAGTCCCGACGGCCAGCCCGGGGCGAGTTTGGTGCCGCTGCCGGCCCCCAGCAGTAGAGCAGGTAACTTTCCTCCGCGACCCCTCCTGCGCTTGGATTTCGTTGTCTTTTTCTCCCTGTGAAAAGCGCTCGGAGGTGGCCCCAGCTCAGCGGCGGCAAGAGCCAGGGGCTCCCTCCAAAACCAAGCCCGTCGGTTTAGTTACTTTACAGCTTGGTGAGACCTCCTAGGAAATCCTGGGGAAAGGATTTTTTCCTTTTTCACAGGAGAAAGGGAAATGGTCCGCAGAGCTCAGAGCTGGCCAGAGTGTGGGCAAAGGATGTGGGACAGGGACAGCACCCTGGATATGGACAGGGAAAACAAGGATCTCTTCATCACTGCAGAGAGCACGAAGCTGAAGGAAGACACCGGTCTCAGAATTCCCTACTGGGTTTCAGGAAAACCTCTTCAGCTCTCCAGAGCGCGTTGGCTGGGCAGAACTGCAGCCTCTCATCCTGGGCATATGCTGCTACCAGGGCTGAGGGGCTGCTGGCTGCTTCAGCAGCACCAGAAGAACTGTGAGCTTCCACAAGTGTGCTCACCCATTGATCCTGAGCATCACCTCTAAGCAGATGCCTGCCCAAGGAGCCCCTGGCCCACAGTAGAGAAGGAAGCCACTGCTTAAGGGTGGGCTGGACAAGCCAGTGGGAACTTCTAAAACCAGCTCACAGCTTAGGCATAGCCGTGTATCCATGTCCTGGGGCCACAGATGGAAAAGTACCATGAATGCAGTGGCACATCCCTTCCTACGTAACACCGGAGTAAAACTCACAGTCTTCAAAATTGCAATTTGTGTGAAAGTATTCCCAAGAGCAGAGCACAATGAAAGGCTTTTTGCACAGAGGCAAGCAGCTGAGATTGACCAGGTCCTATCATCCTCCTACCTTCCTTTTTGAATTAAAAAGCCACCCAGACTTTTGGAGAATAGTCTTCAGCCCTTTCCTTTAAGCATTTGCTAGTAGAATAGTGGCACCATTGCTCATTCCCCTTCTTGTGCCTGTATGTGCTTTTGTTCATGCTTTATTTTTCCTGCAGATATTTGTGGCTCTTCTTCTGCTTTCCAGGGCTCAGGCAGAGAATCGTGGGTCCAGTCCTGATCTGACACAGACCAGTGCTGTTTCAGCTAACTGCCTCAGTTTCCATTCTGCCAAACGAGGATGACGAGAATGTTGGTGCTGGCTGGAGGACAGAGAGCAGGTGGAAAAGGGTGAAACAGCCTCGGAGAAAGGTGTCTTTCTCTAGACCCAGCTCTTCAGGGAGGAAAGGAAATGAAAGGCACGGCTGGGACCATTCATTCACCTTGTGAGAGCCAAGGGAAAAAGAATGGAAAATTCATATTTCTCCTGACACACATATTTAAATCAAGCAAGTATCTGAATGGAGGTGGCTAATTTCAGCCAGAGGATTTGACTTTTCCACTCACTGGAGAGGGTGGCACGACAGCTATCCAAGAAGGGAGTCACTAAAGATCACTCCACACTGCACAAAGAAAGTTACCCACTTGGGGGAGATGGAAACCTTCAGCTTTGCAAATATTAGCTGGTGAGATTTTCATGTTGATGCAAGGATTTTAATGTATTCTGATCTGGCAAGAATGAGTTTGGGAGGGAAAAGGGTTGTGGAGGGCAAAAGAGGAACTTTTCTCAATCATATCAAACAGCCCTTATTTATCACTCATTTTCTCCCACTTGTTTGGTTTTTGGGTTTTTTTGTTTGTTTGTTTGGTTTGCTTTATTTATTCTTAACAACTGAAAAGGAGTTGAAAAAGAAAACCCACCAGAATGGCTGGATCTGGAGCTGTCTGCACCTGAGATCAGACCTAGCAAAAGAAGAGGGATATCTCATCTGGACAATGGGCCATGAAGACCCAAACGCTTTAAATGTTTATAGTCCCAGGCACTGATCTCACATCATTTTACACACAGAGGGAGAAGCCCTGGCCCCATCTGGGGCTGTGGGCTGCTCAGACTCCAGCTGGTGAGTAGTTACTTTAAAGCTGACAGGACCATTCAAACTGCTCTGAACTTCGGTGTGTTAAGACCCAGATGTCAAAATAGCTTTGACAGACAGATAAAACAGCAGGACAGAGGTGGGCAGGAGCATACAGACAGGAAGCTGTGTTTTACCATGAAATAAGGGCAGAACACACAGACTCTGATTCCCACATATGCTTTCTCACTCAGGGTGCTCTTTGGCCCAGATCTATTATTAAAAAGTGGAAATTAATAATAAAGGCGGCTACCAAACAAAAGTGATCCAGAACTCTCTTTAAAGTGAGGTGATGAGAAGAGAATAAATCACATTTTCTAAGCAAGTGTAAGTTTTGCTAGCATCTGCTGCATCAGTTCATCCTGAGTACATAGAGAGATTTCAGCCTTCAGATCCTGAACTGTTTTGCACTGGAGCTGCAGCCTCCTCTAGAAATGTTGTACCCACAAATCACTTTATAGCACAGGTGAACTTGCTTCACTGCAGAGGAATGGGGCTGTGCACCCTCAGCCAGATTCTGTTTTAAGCCCCCCAGGCAGGCATTGCATCTGTGGTACCCAGGCCACATGTCCAAGCTACACTTGGGATTCATGTGGGTTAAAAAAATGTGCATTTTCTTCCCTCAAAACAAAACAATCTTCTGCTAAACCACGTGCAGTATGGGGGTACCTGGGTGGAAGATTCATGATCTTTAATGTAGCCATGTTGAGAGACCAGTGGCTTTGTCCTGGCCTGAGTGAAACAGTTGCCTGGATGTCTGCACTGGGCACAGCTGCATTTGGATCATCCCTGTTTCCAGAGCCCTGCGATTACCTGTGAAGCAGATATCTGTTTCTCAGTCCCCCTGGGAAGTTCAGGGAGAAAAAGAGGGAGTGGGAGCCCTGAAAGCAAGGAGTTTCCTGCTTTCTCTCCCTAGGAATCCCACAGTGAACAATCCAAGGCACTCTCCAGCCTCACTCAGAGCCAGCAGTGGCCCCTCGGGATGTTCCAATGACACAAAACCTGCTGATGGTGCTCTTAGGATGGCCCTGAATTACCCCATCACTTACCAACAGCCAAATGTTCAGGTACTTCCTTGGCTGGAAGCTGTAGGAGCAGCACTGCCCTGACATAACACTTGATCCCATTCCCACCTTCTGTGCATCCATGTCTGAACCCATCCATGCTCCGAATTCCCAGATGGAGACCCTCAAAAGGCTCTTGAGACTGCCTCCTGCCGCAGGTGCTCTGTGCAGTGGGAAGGCTTTGCCACCAGAAGGAGAATCCCATTGCCCACAGAATCATGGAATGGGTCAGGCTGGAAGGGACCACGGTGGTCATCTGGTCCCACCTCCCTGCCCCAGCAGAATCACCCCTGAGCACAGCATTACATCCAGACACTTCTTGAATATCCCCGGTGATGGAGACTCCCCACCCTCTCTGGGCAACCTGTCCCAGTGCCCAGTGAAGAAGTTCTTCCTCATGTTCAGGTGGAGTTCCCTGTGCATCATTTTCTGCTCATTGACTCTTGTCCTGTTTCTTGGCAGCACCAAGGGGAGCCACGTAAGAGCTCAGAACATTCACGTGAGGTGACTACAGCTTGGGATGTGAGAAATCCACTCCTGGGACATTTCCCTCACGGGGTGCCACTCTCAGGGAGAGCAGCAATGAGAGCAAACAGCAGACCTGGAGGATCTGTCCACTGTGTGGTTTGTGACCACAGCACATGTCCAGGAGTGGGGCCACCACGCTGCTCAGGACCAGCAGCCACACAAAAATCAGCCCAGGACACCAGGCAATGGCTGGGGTCAAAGGAGCCACCACTGAACACCCTTCCTGAGGTATTCCATTTCTTCAAGATGCAGGAAACTGATAACCAAAGCAAATAAATTCTTCCTGAGAACTAACTCTTTGAGTCACTTATGTATTTGTAGGCAACTGCGCAGTAAGGTCCAGACAAAATAATTTTTTTCCCAAAAAATGTAGGCAAAAGCATGTACAAAAACTGTGGAAAAGCAGGGAGAAAATTCTAGAGAAAGAAACTTTTGAACTATTCTTCACCTTGTGGGCAAGTTTTGGGTTTTTTCCTACTACAGCCAGTGCAGATTTTCTTCCCCAAGTTCATTTTGATATAGTATTTTTTAAGTTTCCTTTAATTCCTATAGAAAAAAGGGGATGGGAGGAAAAAAATAATTTTGCTTCTATTGTCTATCAAAAATAATATTCCTAACAGAAGCATATTTTTGTTTAAATTTGAAAGAAAACAAAAACTATTTCAAGGGACTTGAAATATTTGATGGCAGACAAAATTTGGTGTGGAGTTTTAGAGACTTTGCTTCTACAAACCTTGTTGCTTTTATTGCTCAAGAAAAATTCCAGTATTTGGTGAATCTTCCCTACCAACCTGCTGTTTCAAGCAGGGCACAATCTTGACTGTTCTCTGACCATTCTTCTGTCCTTGAAGGATTCAGCCCATGCAGCACCCAGAGGAAGAAGAAGAGACCATCACACAAAATTACTGAGGGCAGCACCTGCAAGAGCAGATGTTCTTAGGAAACCATGGTCTCCTGTTCTCCAGCTACCTCCAATTCTCCTGAAAATATGTCCCTTCCCAACTAAATGCTGATGCCCACTGACCAAGTTTCCCAAGCTTTGTTTAGATGATGCCAGGTAGGTGGCTAAAGCTCTCAGCCCTGCAGGGTTCATTCTAAAGGGCTGGTTCTGAGCCCTCCTCCAAAATTTTGATGCTTTCACTGCAGAAAGAGGCAGCCAGCTCCATGGGAGAGGCTGACACACTTGGCATCCCTGAAGCCACTACAGATCTATCTGAGGATCACAAGAATGAACAGAAACTGGCAGGAAAACAGCCTGGATGGGGGCACTGCAGCAGGAGTGTTCTGTGCCACACTATTTCCCTCCCCCTGATCCCATACATTATCCCAAACCTTCCTCACACTGGGAAGAACTGCCTCTTCCAGTGCTTCCCAGCTGCCATGTGAAAGGTTTTCCTGCTGCCCAAACCCTGTCCCCAGCCAGCTCCCCAAGCCTGCTGAGGCTCAGGATTGTCAGTGAAATCAAGGAACTGGCCCAGCTGCCCCAGATGCTGCACACCAGAGCTCCCAGGCAAGTTCAGTGCAAAACTTCCCTTTTCCTTGTTGATTTGCTACTCCCTTATAACTACCAGACCAATTAGCTGCAAGCCTGGGCAGATGGTTAAAATCCCACTTTGCTGGCTCACTATCCACTCTCTTTTTTCCCTGTTTAATGCTCCTGCCAGCAGTGATTTCACTGACTCCAACCATAATAGCCTCTTCCCTCCCCTCAGGCCAGGAGCACACCTCTGTCATGAAAAATTTCCCTCCTGTCTTGTACCTTCAGCCTGATCTGCCTGCAGCCCGACCTGCAGGTTGTTTTTCTTCTCACTGCTTAAAATGCTTTGGAAACAAAGACTCCCTAATCCCCCCAGCCCAGCCAGGCACCTCTGGGAAGCCCCTCCTGGTAGTGCAGAGGGAGCAGTAGCCTCAGCAGGAGGTACAGGGCACCCCACAAGCTGGTGGGATGAGCTGAATGGAGGCTGTGTAGGAAACAGGATCTCATGGGCTGGTGGGGATGGAGCAGGACACAGAGGTGAAACCATGAGATGTGATCTGGGGGGAAGAAGAGCAGAGATCCTGACACCTGGCCACTGCCCAGCCCATCAGTCTCAAATGGAAAGAGCTCACCTGTGTAGGAGGAGAAGCTGGCTGAGGTTGTGACAACCTTATCTGCCTTTAAGACCACTCCACAAATGACCAAAATCTAAGATTCTGTGCAATGACTTCAAAGTGCATGTGGTACAGGAAAAAAGTCTCCAGCCATGACAGACTGGTGTTCATCACATCATTTCCTAGTGAGGAGGAGAGAGAGATGATTCAGACCCAAATCAGACTGGACAAGTGTGAATCACAGCATTTGCCTCACATTCCTTCCAGCCAAAACCAGCCCTGCCTGTTGCTGCTTGGGGCTGGGAGCATCAATACAGGCATTTCTTTAATTTGGGGGTGCACAGAAGTTTCATTAATTCATTTCCATCTGCCACTGCTGAAGTGCTGTGGACACAGGAGTCCTCCAGCTGAGATGGGAATCTGTCTCACAGGCAGGATTTGATGCAGGGAGGCAGCAGCATCCAGGTCTCAGGGTCCATTTAGAAGGTTAGCAACGAGGCAAACTCCATCTGCTAGTGCCACCCTGAGTATAAACAATGAGGGAGATGGATTTGGTCTTGAAACCTGTCTCAGACCCTGGTTACCCAAGAGGATAAATGCAAAACCAGACACTGACCTCCCTTATCAGCTGAGTAGGAAGCAGAGCTCTGCCTTCACATCATCTCAGCCTCAAGGATGGCCCTTGAGCAAGGATTGGAGACCTCACCGTATCAGAAACAAGAACCCTTCTTTAAAAAATGTCCAGTACAGTATGCCCTTGGGGAAAGGTCAGAAATTATTTTCTGCCCATTTCTTAATGCAAGTAGAGCATGAAGGATTGACTCATCTGAAGCAAAGCAGCAAGGCAGTGACATCATCACAACCACCATCCAAATACTCTCTGATGGAACCAAAAATCTTACACCTACTTTGCAGAGGCATCTGCTCAGTATGTCTGGAAGCTTTTCCCCCTTACATGGTGTTATATATTGCATACTTTTTAGTTTTTGTTTGCACGAAAAAGATTTTCACTATTCTGTAGGACGGAGCTGGTGGATTAACCTTTATCATTTCATTTTAGAATAGGAATGGGTGAATAGCATGCTATGGTCAAGCTTTCTGAATAAAAAACCTGTGGTAAGGGAAAAGATGATCTCTTATTTTTCCACTGCAGCAAGAAGTTCAGCATTTAATCTCACTTTTTTCTCTGCCTGCTCCATTTGATGGACTTAAGGAGCACATTTAATCTCACTTTTTTCTCTGCCTGCTCCATTTGATGGACTTAAGGAGCAGTGTCAGTGTTGAGGAGGCCATGTGTGATGTATGACTGAAACCTGAGATCTGGGATGTCAGGGCAAGGGAGGGATTTCTCTCCCAGGGATGACCAAGAATACTCTTTGTCCTTGCAGAATAAATTAAATACTCGAGCAGAGCTTTGCGGTGGGGGCCAGGCTGGGAGGGAGGTGCCACCCTTTATTGCTATGGGAAGAAATTCTCTTCAAAATAACATGAAATGATCAACTATAAAACAACAGCTGGGGATCTCCAGGGCATAACAGGGCAGACACAGCTGCAGATACAGATTTATGCAGGCACTGAACAAGTCAGGAGACAAAATTTAGCATCACCTGTCTCCTTTCCCTTTCTCAGTCAGTTTGCTTCCCTACACACCCTTCTTTGGAATGATCAGAGGACTGACTATTATCCATTTTCTTTACACCAAACTTGGAGTGTACAAACTTTGCACAAATTTTCTTGCCTTGTGCTTTTCTCAGCAGGTATGGCAAATCCTTGTAAACCTAAAAGATCACAAAGGGGCAGCTTGTCCCCCACCCTCACAGGGAGGGCAACTGAGGCAGAGGGAGACAGAGGAAACCTCAGCCAAATCTGCAACTAGGTCAAAAGAGGGAAAAAATATAGGATCTTATCATCAGTTTTCCAGCATAAAGAGTCTGGGAGAGGTTTGTAAAAGTTAGAAATCCAGCTTCCATGCAAACCAACAAGAACTGGGCACTTAAATCCTGCCATAAAATTCCCAAAGAAAAATAAAAAATCATCAGCAACAAAAGGAGTCCTCAAAAGCCCAAACACATTGATGTGGAGTGGAAGTCAAAAGATGTGTCTCAAGCCCCAGATGAGCAGCACAGCAACACAGAGGTATTTGAGATACGTGTTTATCCACCAGGATGAAGGAGTTATGGGCTGCCATCAGCAAGACAGATCCAACCAGAGGGTTCAGCAGCTTCCACCACAGAATCAGCTGTTGCAAATAGGTCCTAATGGCTTTGCCTTGTAGATCCACAAAATCCAGAGGTTGGTATCTGCCACGGGCTTGTTCTTCCACTGCTTAGTCCACCCCTAAGGACAAGGGACTCAGATGTAGCATTCAGCCATCAACACAATCCCAGAGGATATGAAATGGGTAGAGAATTGAAGGCTGCTTCAACAGTGGGGTGTCTGTGCTGTAAATGTCCTGTGAGACCAAGGTTGGCCTTCTTCCCAGGGCTGCTAACTCTTGTGTCTCCATCACAGATTTCTCAAAGTGGGAAGGATTTGTTCCCATTTAGTTGTTTTGGTTTCTTTGCTCCTTACACAACTGAGGAGTCCAGATATTTAAAGGATAACCTGAAAACCTTTTGTGCACACCCCCATAGGCCAAAGGAAGATCCTTTGCTGCTGATGGTGAGCGAGCTGGCAGATGGGGTAAAATGCTCTCTTTCCTTTGAATCCAGTCCCCAGAATTTGGCTGGCCTAAGAGCTAAGGCTGAGGTGTCTCAGGTCCCCCATTTCAGCTGCAGCATGGACACACCCCAGTGCTCAGCAGACCCCACAGAAGGGATGTCAGCACTGGTTGGACAGTGGTCCTTGGCCTTGGAGATAGGAAGTCACTTTTTCCTCACAGACCAATCAAGAACCTCCCCAGGGAGCAAACCAGAGCTCACACCCTCCATCAGCAGGAGCCACTGCCAGCATGGGGCCAGCAGCCAAGAGCTGGGCTCGGGATCACTGCATCAAAATCCATGATTCCCATTATTGCTTGTGTTCCTGGGTGGGTGCAGAGGGACTGCAGCAAGGAGAACAAACGTGCCACAGCAGCGAGGGGTACCCCTGCACAGCTGGTGCCAGGACTTGCAGGGAGGCTCTGCCTCTTCCCTTTTTCCCCAACACACACTCAAATTACAAACCTGCTCAGCAAATGCCTCATTCTGCAAACAGAAACTCGATGCCCCAGAGGGTCTCTCAGGCCTTGTTCAGGTTGATGCTTGTGAAGAAACTCCCCCATTCCAGGGAAAAACAGTGGCAACAGCAGCCACAGGTTAAGCCTGCCATGGGATGCTCTGTGCAGGATCCAGACCTCAGCCCCACACAGCAGATATTCCAAGGAGACAGGAACAGAGCAGCCTGGTGTCCTTGACCACCTTTAGAGTATCTCTGCTCAAATATCCCTGTACAGGAAGATGTGACAGCAATTTCTCCTCCGTGGCCTTCACTGGATGTCCCCACAGCAGATGTGGTCATCACAGGCAGGGGGATTCCCATGGGCTCAATGGGACAGAGCAGACTATGTCCCACCTCTGCTCTGATTCAGATCAAATAGCTTCCAGATACTCCATTGAGCAACCAAAATCCCAAACAGAAGGGCAAGACCAGAAGGGTACCAGAAGGGCCAGAACAACCAGTTTACACATATGTGGCAAGGGTGGAACAGGCTAGTTTCAACCTTCTCATTGGGCTAGGGGAGATTTCAGGTGGATTTAACATTTCTCAGCTTTGGTCTGTTGGCTTCAACAGGAGAAGAATCAGAGAAGTGCTGAGCATGTCCAACACCCTTCCCCCTGGAGTTCCCCAGATACATAAAGGGAATCATGACTTTGAGTCCCTACTCAAAGTCATGATTCCCTTTATGTATCTGGGGAACTCCCCACCAGATCATTTAAGCAGCAAGGCAGAAAAGATTCTTGGGATGTAGGAAACCAATGGAGAGTCATTTCTCCTATGGGACATCTTTGCATAATTGCACCTAAAAAGACACTCTACCAGCAGATAGCTGCTGGCTATGGCTCAGCAGTTACCTTGAGATGAGGAATCAGGAACACCAAAGGCTGGACTTACACCTGTGGAACAACGTGTCTGCTCCTACCACTGTAGCCCACAGCGAAAACAGGGATAATCATCACCTCAGAGGTGTGTACAAGGGTTATCTCATTAACCTGCCCATCTACAACAGCACATGAAGATGCCTGATGCCAGCACTGTTTATTGAATCATGCCCAAACTCCTGGGCCAGGACTCTGGGAAGCAAGAGGAAAACACAGCAAGGTGCCACTGCCAGCCTACACCAGCAGCAGCAGGGAGCAGCAGTCACAGCCCCACCAGCCCTGGGCTTCACATGTCACTGATTGACTCAAGTTTTAATTATGCCCCAATATCTCCATGTCTCCCAAAACACAAAGCTTTCAGCCAGGCAGTTCCTGCCAGCCGAAATTTCATAAAGAGCAGCGAGTGACTAAGACAGCCCAACCTTCAAGTCAGATGCTAACAGCTTTGGACAAGTGTGGGATTTTTACACCCCTATCTGCAGGAAAATCTGATGTTTAGTGCCCTGACTGTGAGCAGGTCACTCCTAAACCCCTGAACATCCCAGGCAAAAAAAAAAAAAAAAAAGGCAGAAAAAGAAAAAAAAAAGCGCCGGAGGGGAATTGTACTGGCTCTAATCCCTTCTGCCATTCTGCATATTCATGGAACATTGTCATAACACATCAGCAGGACAAAAGGTCTGTCGGCACCTCCTCCTCATTCCTTTGATAAACCACGAGACAAATGCTGAGTAAACACTTGGAATCCATTCACTGCACTATTCTCATCGGGATGAGAAAGGACTCCTCTTTCTTGCAGGCCCAGAGCTGCTCAGCCTAATAAAGTACGGCCCACGGCCCGTGAAAAGAGAGGCCTATGGATGATGAAAACATGGATTATCTCATTTCACCCTCCTTGTATCAGACCCTGCTCACATTCTGAGTGCACTTGGCCTGACATGCAATTACACAGATAAAAAAATAATAATAATAAAATTTAAAAAAAAAATGCAAAGTGAAGGGGGTGTTTAACAAGTGGGGGGAACTGTCCGTGAAATTTCACAGATGACCTTTTCCTAGTGGGAAAGTGATTTGTTTCGGTTCCAGCCATCACCAAGAGCTCTCATTGATATCATCAGTCCCCTGAATACTGCAGTTGGTGGGAGAAGAGACAATACTTAGGACAAGGCTTTGCAGGTCACTGTAGCCTGATTCACTCTGGCACTGAGTGCCCCAGGAATGGCTCCCTGGCCATGCTGCTGCCTCAGCTCTCTGCCTGGCAGGGGGAGCAGCCAAAGAGCCCCATTCTTCTCACACAACTGGAAATCAAGAGTCCTGAGGGCAGACAAGCACCTGGAGAAGGAGGAACGACTTATGTGCCCACGGAGGGATAAAAGCACCTCGGTGGTTTGGGATCTCCAGGTGAAAATCGCAATGTCAGCCAAGCAGGCTAGAGCATGGGATCTCCTGTGGTGGAAGTCAAACCCCAGTCTGGAGTCCCTTCAGCCAGGCTTGGACCCCACCCGAGTCAAGAGCAGGCTGTTGAGGCTGGGAGAAGCAACATCAGCCTTTCTCCACACCCCACAGGTGGGCAGAGAGACCAGACACACATTGCCAGATAACTAACAACAGCCTTAAAAACAGCATAAAACTCCTCCTTACCTTTAGACATTCGGTGACTTGACCCAGTTACACAGGACAGCAATGACCAAAGTTGACCTCAAGTGCTTTCCAACACCTACACCCTCCTCCTCTGTTGCCCAGGTTTCCAGAGGCTGAGCTAAAAAAGCCTGCAATAAAACAAAGAAAATAATTTAATAACCCAAAACAGGGCAAGGAACTGGTTCTTTTGTAAGCAATCATCTGAAATAAATATTTTCCATTTAAATATGATCCTTTATTTAAGAATATGAGCAATTTTCAAAGGGAAAATAAAATTCAGAGATGGTACATGGGGAGCAAGCACACTTAGTGCAATTGTGCCCATAATGAAAACCAAGACAAAGTTATGAATTACTGCCAAATTATGAAGAAACAATAAATAGACTGCTGATTAACTAGGGTCTCTTTGTTAAATAAATGGCTCATAATCGTGTCCGCTGACTGCAGGATGAGAATGTAAATAGTGCATTGTCTCTGGAAAATCCTTAAGTTCACCCTTTAAGTTTCAGACAGCCAGCAGAAAGCATAAGCAGTCGTTCCTCGACCTGGCACGTTATCCGTGAACGTCTCTATTCAAATATTTGCGTTTTACAAGGTGTTTGTTCCAAACCCTCCCGAGAGCCCGGCGCGCTCTCACGGCAGCTCCGGGCGCTCGCCCCGGGGCCGGCTCTTTGTTCTCCCTGCGAGGGTCACTCCTCTCCCCGAGCAACCCAGGAGCAAAAGCAAGTGTGAAACTTGCGGGGCTTCCAAGAGGCTGCTTGCTCTGCTGCCCGAAAGCGAATTCTGGGCTGAACTGCATCCACAAGTGTGACAGCCACATTTCTGTGCCCCGGGATGGGTGAAGAGCAGGATGCTGCCTGCCACCTACCAACACCTACAGCTGACCTGCACAGCAATATCGCTCAGCTAAAATATCGGGCTAATGCCATTATTGCCTTCTTAAGATCATGCTTTTATTTCCCCAGTTCTTGCATTATTATTTTCTTAAAAAAAAAAAGGAAAAAGAAGAAATTCAGCGACGCTGTTGAGCTCAGATCCTCTGAGATTACTTAGGCACATAACTCCCATTCACATCCAAATGATCTCAGGCGTCTTTGGGATATGAGCCTCCGAGAACTCATCACTTGATATTTCTCACAGACTCAAGTCTCCAGGCAGTTTCTGTGCCTGCCCAGCAGCGGCTCCAGCCTGCAGGGCTTTGGGGCTCTGAACTCAATCCCATGGGATAAACTGGTTCTGAGCAGGCTCCCTCTGCTCGTGCAGCCACAGGGACCAAACGTCCTCGACCCTCTTCTCCACAAGCTGGGGCACAGGTCAGGTCTGAAGGGGAGCAGAAACCACCCTCAGCCTGTTCTGGGCAGCTTCCCAGGGACTCTGCTGTGCTCTGCACCAAGTCCCATGGCTCCTGCACGCTTCCCCAGGGCTGGAATGTGGGCAGCTGTGCTACAAACAAGGCTCATTTAAGCCCAACCCAGGGATGCTCTGTACTTTGCAGAGTAGGAGGCTTCATACATCTCATTCCAACCCATTGTTTTTTAGGGCTGACTCTGATACCCCTGAGAGCTGCTGGACCCCGGGGAAGGGCCAGAATTTGCCCCCAGAGATCGATGGGGAGTTTTTGCATTGATTCCCGCAGAGAGACCTTTGGTACCTATGGCATCCTGTCAGCACCACTCAGGTTAGAGCATCCAGCCTTACATCGACAACGCTCCTCTCCAAACCCAATAAGTAATTGTGGGATTCACTAATAGGGCTTGTCAAAATCAATTGGGGTTAAACACCTTTAGCTACAATAACAGTCATCTGACCCCGGGCTCCAGAAACCGCCAGGCTCAGAGGAACCCCGAGGGGTTATTCCTGGCTTCCCATTGCTTTGAGACAGATAAAAGAGCAGACGATGCAGAGCTGGGTAATCCGTTCAGCCCATCCCAGCCATGCACTGAAGTGACAGCTCCCAGAGTTTCTGCAGAGCTGGCTCCTCCTGGGAATTGTGTGTGCAGGGACCAATTTGTTCAACAAAACCTGGGCAACCAGAGTTTTCTTAAATTCAATTGCCTGAAGGAGAAGGCAAATAGCATTTAAGCGGAGGAAAGTGCATTAAAACCACATCTTTGATACAATGGCTGATACACCCCATGCTGCCAACGCCTGAAATGATAATATTTTTTTTCTTAAATAAATAGCTCGGCAGCAGGATCCCAGCCTCCCCCAGCACAGGGAGGCTTCACGCTGCAGCAGCCACATTTCCAGCCCTCCAGGCCAAAGTGCTGCAATGCTTCCCCTCTTTGCTGGGTTCATTACTGAGGGTGGATTGGTTCAGGAGGGACCAACAGCAGTGCTCGTGCTCTGCTGAGCATCCCCACATCCAGAGGGCACTTTGAGCTGATGTCTCCCCACCAGCTCCCAGGAGCAACAGGTAGGAACAGCAGCTGGTATAATCCTTCCCAGGTTGGTGCAAAAGTCCTTTTCTGCTCGTGTGAATTCTCTGCCTTTAGAGACCCGCCAGAACTTGATGCAGAGGAACACCAAGCAGGGTGGGTCAGGAAGAGAAATAAATATTCAGGATTTTGAGCACTTGCATAACCCAGTGAGCTTCTTGCTCTCTTTCTCCAGTTGTAGGATCCACCACCACATCCTATTCCTCCTTGGCAGCTTTTCATCTGTGCCTTCCTCGCTTCTCTACCTGGGGACATTGGGGCTCTCAGGAGAGGCTCTGTGGGCACCTGAGGCCCTGGGCTAGACAGAAACAATAGAGAGGAAAGGGACACAGCTCTGGTGTGCTGCACAGACAGGAGGCTCCATGGCTGGCTGTCCCTGAGAGCAGCAGCTCACTCTACACTTAAGCACAACATGTGATATTTGAATAAAGTCAAGCCTATAATGAAGGATTTTTAATTATCCTGTCTGGTCTCAAAATTTTTGTGGAACTGAGACAAAGCAAGGCATCTCTTGCCTCCACAAACTGCAGAGAAATCTCCTTTAAAGCCTTCCTCCCTGAAGATTTCAGTTTCTGCTGCTTATGGGGAATCCTGACAAGGTTATCTTCTCTCACACTAGACAGTCATTTTAACTTCCTACCTTGGCTGCAGACCAAAGGTCCACTGCCAAGGTGGAAATATGCAATACAGTGACAACACAATTACCCAAACATTCCCAAACAAGCACGTGTGAGGTGAGAGGGAGGGCTGAGGCAAAACCTGAGCAGAAGAAATGCAGGGGGTGATACCAGGGAATACCAGCAGGGAAAATGGGAAGGACATAACTAAATAAAATCTTCCCTACAGCACCAGGGAAGGGTTCCTTCTGCAGGGGATGTCACACCATGGACATCTGTGTTGTTACCAAAAATCAGCTCCAGATTCCCCCAAGCCTCTCTCTGCTGTGAGCCCAACCCCATCCAGCAGAGACCAGACACCCATGGGTGGGATGCCAGCACATGAAACCTTCACTCTTGAAAAGTTATTATGGTAGGAGGAAAAGAAACTTGTCAGAGGAATCTGGAAATCTGGTCGTGATTCATCACAAAAAGCAGGAGAGGGAAAGCTGGAGAATCTCAGCAGTGAAGGTGCCTGCCTGACCCCAGGGAACTGCAGTGCTCTGAGGGGTGGGACACAGCCAGCACCACCCATGCACTCATTCACACACTGAGGGATGTTTGTTCCCTGCAAGCCCAAAGAAATACCTTTTAAAAATTTAAATCCCAAGATATCCCTGCACCTAGCATCATCTTGCCTGCACCCAGGGTCGCTGCAGGAGGGCTGTACCACCTGCCCAGGACACAGGTGTGGAAAATCTGCTGGAAATCAAAGGCTGCAACCAATCACACACCAGATGGAATCATTCTGCTGGGATGGCTTAGTTCCCCAGGTGACATCAGCACGGATCAGGCTTGAGGCAGCATCCCTTGGATGATCTCAAATGTGCAGATAGGGGCAGACAAGGCAGAGCACCATCTACATCCTCTTCTGCCCATCCTCGGGGTGCAGAAGGATGGCAGCTCTAGATCTTGGTCCTTTCCTTCTGGGTCCACACAAGCAAAGATGAAGAACTGCTGTCCTCAGCCTTCTCCTGAGTCACTGCAACAGGGGGAGGACATCCCCCTGCATGGGAAGGAAGGAAGGAGCTGGTAGGTACCAGGTAAAGGGGATAGCTGGGACAGATGGCAGCTGACACGTGTCATATTTTATAGAACAAAAGTGAGTCCATGTGGTCCAAGGCATTTGTGGTGCCAGCTGCAAGACCCCTTTGCAGGAAAATCAACCTGCACCTCCACCTGGCTGTTTTACCAAAACCCCAAAACTATTAATTGTGAAAGGAAATTCAGAGCGACTTGAAGGGCTCTGCATTGCTCCACTCAAAGGAGATTCCACTTTCTAAAGAAAGTCTAAACCAACTGTCATCAGCCAGGGGGCACAATGTCCCTCAGAGCAGTGGCTGGTGCCACATAGGAGGCATTCAGTCTAAATTAACTCTCCCCCTAATACCTGAGCAAACATTTTCAGCTTGAGACTTAATATCCCTGGACATGTCTGCTGTCTCCCAGGTGAATCCCCAGATAAACAAGGTCAGCTCAGCCCTAATGCGGCTGTAAAAAGCTGTCAGTCAGCCCAGGAGATCTGGTTGCAAGGTCAAACCAGTTCTGAAGGTTGCTGGGGCCAAACCTGGCCTGTCAGTCATTTTAAGTGCAGGAAGGTTTGTTTTCTCATTACCATGTCAGGTATCCCAAATTTAGGATTAGCTGTCGGCCGCCACAACATTGTACCTTCCAAAAAAAAGAAAAATAAACACATGCACACACACATCCCTGGCCCTAAATAAATCTGTGTACTGAGCCTGCCTGCAGCTGGGAGGTGAAAAGAAACCTGTCCTTCAGGAAAAGCGAAAGGGGACTTTCCCACACATTGTGACAGTTTTTGGCACAAAAGAACACCCAAAGCACAGAGAAACAACCTTCAGTTAAAATACCCAGTTGAATTAAGGCATCTCCACTGCTGAAAAGCCTCTTTGTCCAGCAGATAAGGAGAAAGGCAGGGCACCCTCTGTTTCCAGGGGGAACATACGGAAGCTGTCCCAGGCCAGCTGCAAGCAGAACAGTTTTGCATGGGATGAGTCCTTGGTGCCATGGGTG